TCATAAACTTGGCATACTTGGGCATCTTCGACAGTGCCTCCACGAACGGCATGCTGATGTTGACCTGCTTCAACATTGCCATGAACTTGGCAAACTCTGTCTCCAGCCTGTCTTTATGAAGTCTAGTGGGGAAAGGCAGCTGGGGTGTATACTCCTTAACCACAGGTTGTGGCTTGGGAGCAGGTGCTGCGCCGCCTTCCTCCACTTCTGCAGTATCAGCTGGAGGTGTTGAAGCAGGAAGTGGTTCGTCTTGCCTGGGCTGGGCAGAAGCAGCAGATATGGTCTTGCCACTCCTGGTGGTGATGACATGGGCAGTCTCGTGAGGGTCGCGAGGATTGGGGACAGTGGTGGCAGGCAGAGTCCCCGGTGCCCTCGTAGTGTTCTGGCGAGCTAAGCCCCCTATCTGGTGTTGGAGATCCTGCAGAATGGCACCCTGGTTCCTCTGGCCTGCCTCCAAGGTTCGCTGGCCTGCCTCCAGTGAAGCTATGGCCTGATCCATCCTCGTGATACTTGCCTGGCTGGTGGTCATGAATGCTGCCAAAATGTTCTCAAGCTTGGTCATCTGATTATCGGGAGCTGGTGCTGCTGCTGGCTCGGCATACTGACGCTGGGGCTGCTGGAATGGCTGCCCCTGTCTAGCCTGGAAAGGCTGCCTCTGCTGAAAACCACCTGCTGGTGCTGGGAAACCAGGTGGTTTATTGGTGTTGTTGCTCCAGGCGAAGTTGGGATGCTGGCGCCATCCCTCATTGTATGTGTTGCTGTATGGATCGAGGCGCCGAGCATTGGCGATGAAGGCCATCTGTTCTTGGGGAGTAGAGGACTCCCGCATAGCCTGGCAGTCCTCCACCAGATGGTTTGGACTCTCACACCACTGGCACTGAGCTACTGGAGGCGCAGCTACACCTCGGCCCGGAAGGAGACTGTTAGGCTGCTTCAGTGTCTGCACCAACTCAGCCACCTGCTGCTCTAACCCGGATCTGGCCTCTATAGCATGCACACCACGGTCCCGGGAGTGCCTGCCTCTGCTGCTCTGCCCCCAGGAATGATCGCGGGCAGCCAAAGTACTGATCATCTGGTTCAGCTCGGGTGGAGTCTTAGTAAGGATATCCCCTCCTGGGCATAGAGACTCGATCACCCTCTGGCTGTCTGGGGTGATGGCACTGTAGAAGTTCCCCACTGTGAAAGCATCGCTGAAGCCATGATGGGGACACTGCCAGAAGTATCCCATGTACCGCTCCCATGCATCACGAAGGGACTCATCTGGCTCTTGGCGGAAGTGAGTGATCTCCCGCTGAATCTCAGTAGTCTTCGATGCCGGATAATATCTGTGCACGAACTTATCCGCCAGATCGTCCCAAGAAGTGATGGACAGTGGGGGCTGGGTCTCCAACCACCTCTTAGCATTCCCCGCCAGAGAATGGGGGAAGAGGTGAAGGCGGATTGCATCATCCGGAACACCATTCAGCTTGAACCCGTTTGTCAGCTGCAGAAAACGGGAAAGGTGTGCCCGGGCTTCCTCATCCTTCAAGCCATGGAACTGGATAGAGGATGTGATGAGCTGAATCCAGCCTGGCTTGATCTCGAAGTTATTTGCTGGGACGGGTGGATAGAGGATGACCGGGTGGATGTCAGCAATCCGTGGAGTGTAGTAGTACTCCAAGGTGGGACCCGGCGGTGGTGGTGGATGCTGATTCACCGGGGGAACCTGTCGAGCATTCCCCGGTTGTGGGATGTCTTCGCCCTCCATCTCGTACTCTTCCTCAGAATCGCTGGTCAAGTGGCCGTCTATGCGCTCTCCCGTAACCAGTCTAGCTCGCTGCTGTCTCCTAAGTTGGCGGCAAGTGCGTTCAAGCTCTGGATCCAACGGCAGTAAACCTCCTGACTGGCTACGGGTCATGCACTACCTGCACACACTCAAGCAAGCAAACCCGTGAAGGCACAAGTGGGACAAAGCAAACAAAGCGAAAAGAAAAGCTAGAGTAACAGAAATCACTTTTCTTCAACAACCTAGCCGTCCCCGGCAACGGCGCCAAAAACTTGACTCGACTCTACTGTCACCCTAGGAATTGGCCAAGTGAAACCACTTCCTAAAGCGTAGTATAGCGGGTTAGGTTTATATGTCAACTCGGGTCCTAGATTTGCTGACTACTCAGTGAATTCGTATTATCTAGCAATGAAACTTTAGTGAAGTTCTAAACTAACAAGCAAGCAAAGCAACTAAACGTTTGTATTCAGGTTAAGAGAGGTCACCCGGATATGGTTCCCCCTAGTCTGCAGTTAAGCCGGGTTGTAATTACCAAGTTCAATTTCTATGAAAGTTATACTGCGGAAGGTTCTCAAACAGCCTGAAGTCTCGACTAAAGGTCTTCAGACCCTCTCAATCTGAGTCTCTAGCTGGCGACTAACCTACACCGGAGTAAACAGATTGAGGCCCTAAGAACAAAACCTCCACTACCGAATGCAATTCGGTACAGAATAGTGATTGGTTCCTCGACTAAAGTCACCAATTCACTACCTTCAATTAAGGATACTCTATTAACCTAGGCAAATATTATCATTCTAGGTTAAAGCAGAAACAACAGGAATTTGATCAGGATTCAAGTCATTCAATCATTCAAACCTCAATCGAATATAATCAATATCATAGAATCAATACTTGGGTTCATACAATCAAACCTAACATACAGAACTAGGGTTTCCCATACCCAGATGAATGGGGGAACTACTCCATGGAGAGAGAAGCAAAAGCAGAATCAGACGCGGAAATCATACTGTGAAGATGGATTTCTGCTCCTGGACGTTGAATCGGCACTTCTCCAAGCTCAAACCAAGCTCCAATGGTGTTGAAGATCGATCTAGGGCACTTGGAGGCTCTTGTTCGTCGCTTTCTCTTTCTAGGAACCGCTCTGTCTCTCAAAACCTCGAATCCCCCTCTGTTTGCTCGAATTAGGCTTTAAAACTGGCTTTCCCCGAGTTGCACGGCCAGGTGCACGGCCGTGCACCTTACAATTCTGGCCGTGCACCCTCAAAACGCACCGTATCACTTATTCGCCTTCATCCACCTTGCACGGCCAGGCGCACGGCCGTGCACATCTGGATTGTGCCCGTGCAAGCTCTCGCACCAACCCGCACGGCCAGGTTTGTATGTTGCACGGCCGTGCGGTTCTCTGCTCTGCCCGTGCAAGCTCTCGGCATGAGGCGCACGGCCATATGGCTCAAGTGCACGGCCGTGCGTCTCCATGGTCTGGCCGTGCGGCTCCCCAACAAGCTCGTCCTTCGTCCGTTCGTCGTCCAATCGACCCCAAACTCGCTCCTAAGCCCTTATTCACGTACTAGGACCTGAAATAACACAAACAAACACAACCTAGCGTGAAATCGGCCTAAAACACAAGAATCAACACCTCAAACGGAGTAAGAGCAGGGGTAAAAACATGTGTAACTAACGGTCTATCATTGCGGCTTGTCACTAGCCTTAAAAAGGTTGCGGAAATAACTCACCATGCACCCCGAGACCGCCTCAGTACCAATGCACCATTGTCCCGCCTCACCATCCGCCTGCCAAGCCTCCTCCACCACACCTGGGTAGTCCGCGTGCCGAGTCCGAAAAGGGTCAAACCTAAAAGACCAACCCCAGCTAGGATCGACATCCTCGTCCCCAAGGGTGTCACACACGATGGGTCTATGATCCGATCGAAGCTTGTCAAGATGAAGCACCCTGGCATTCTCAAAGGTACTCGACCATTGACTTGAGGCCACAAAACGGTCTAGCCTCTCTTCTATCCAGCCCACTGCCTCCTGGAGTTATCCCACGTAAAGTTATACCCCTGGAATCCCATGTCGACCAAACCAGCCTCTACTAGGCAATCCCAAAAGGCCATAATTTCTGCTTCCGAAGCTTCATTACCACCCATCTTTTCGCCACTCGCTAGAACCTGATTGAGGTCACCTCCACATAACCATGGCCCATCCCACTGCACCGCTAGACGATTAATGAGATCCCATGTTTGCCACTTTTCATTCCCCTCCGGCCAACCATAGACCCCTGAGAACCTCCACGTGCCATACTTATCTTCCTCAATCTTCATATCTATATGGTGCAGGGAGACAAACATAACAGAGGCCTGAATCCCGTCTCTCCACCATACACTCACCCCGCCTGCCCTACTATGAGGCGATATAACTGCTGAAAAACTTTCACCATGCTCGAAACCAACCTCTTGTCTAGTATTTTTTTTCTCCGCTTCCGTTTGTTTAGTCTCCATAAGGAAGACTATGTGGGAAATCTGTCGCAACAGCGACCTTAGGCTTCTAACTGCACGTGTACTCCCCAAACCACTGCAGTTATAACTTAGAATTCTCATTTATTCCCAGAAGGGGATCGGTTCCCCGCACCTTTCAGCTTCGAGTCATCTTTCTTCTTTTGGCCTTGATCACTTGGCTTTATTTCCTGCCCTCCCTTCTTCCCAGTATTTCCTTGTAATCCCTCTTGTTCCTTCCTCGTACCTCTCACAGGGGCACTCCCTCCAGCTTCCTTTTCTTAACCTTTCCTCTCAACACCTTGTTTGGTACTTCCTTCCTGACCAGCTTTACCATGCACCTCTTTTTTGTTCTTACCCGCTGCCACCGTATTCTTTCCATTCCCGAAGGATTGCTTCTGTCCCTGTCCCGGTTTGTTACGGTTTGATGTTTTCATGAGAATCCCCTCATCATTACCTACTGTAAAAAGATCCTTGGTATTGCTTTCCGCAACCTCCTCACCCAACGCGGCAAAAGCATTCCCCCTTTGTGGATGTGTTGTATGCACGTGCTTCCTTTGCATGGTTTTAATGGGCACTCTTCTTTCTCGACGTTTCGCGATAATCCATTCCCCATACTTTGGCGCCTTCGGTTCAACCACCCGCATAATGTCCTCTTCCACCTGATCCTCCTCCACCTGCGTTTCTGGCATTGGGGGTTTTTTGCAGGCATAGAGGTGCGTCAGGGATCCAAATTTACCACAGTCAAACACACACATTGAACAACCCTTCATATGCGATGAAGTACTCCACACGCTCCAACTTATATCTCGACAATAATGGCTTCGTGAGATCCACCTCTACGCATACTTGAGCATATTTCATTCGTGCTCCCTCGAGAGTTGCACGATCCACCCGCACTGGTTTTCCAATCAAGCTAGCGATTCATAGCACCGCCACCTGATTGAAGAATTCCGGCGGGAGATCAGGGAGTTGTACCCACACCATGGTGGATTTAGTCTCTGTCGTCCACGGGTTAAAGCCTCTATAACACCTATGCACTGTAAGATACGTCTCTCCAAGTAACCAAGGTCCACCAGAGATCGCCAGTTCATAGTCCTCCCTTTTCTTAAATCAAACCAAGAAACAACCATTCTTCATATCCAAAATCTGAAGCCCTCCTGTTCTTGCCCACAAGTAGTTGAGTCTTTTCTCCAAAAGGCTGTATGGGACTCTCCTACCTAACCCTTTAACAACTAGGGCTGATCGCCACTCTCTGCGAAAGGATTTCTTCTCGGCCTCCGTGAATAGGGTCCTGGGGCACGTAGGATCATGTTCACCCTCCTCTATGTAGTCATCCTCCTCCTTTTCCGCTTCGGCCACGTACTCTGAATCAGAGTCGGCAATATACCAGCCCTCCTCTTCCTTGTCCTCCTGAAACAACCTCCTACCCGATCGCCATGCTCCCCTTGGCACCCCAGCATCGAACATGGTTTCATCCTGAGAAAACGACGCCGACTTCTGCTCGGTATCACTAGTCATCTCCGTGTCTGTAGCAGCTTTAGCTCGTTTCTTTTGTTGTTGAGCTTCCCTATCGCCCTTACCATCCGGTGAGGAAGTCTCCAGCGGAGGGCGACGAGTTCCGGCCATGGGATCAGGTGGTTTAGGCGCCGGTGCAGCCATCTTGTTCGGTGCTGCCACCGCCGCCGTCGACATGGCGTGGAACCCTAGCTACGGGTAATTGAAAATCGCCCTTCCCGGGAAAAGCGGTTCATGGTTGCCCTTCGGACATTGATTTGCAGAAATTCCTTCGTCATTTGGTTTTTGGTCAATTTCTGAAATTTTTGTTCTTGTTCAATACGAAGTATCTTTTGGCTATAAAAAAAACAGGCCTAGCGAGGAGGGCGAGATGGTTTTTTTTTTAATAAAACATGCACAAGGAGGGATTTTTCAGAAATAACACCATTAAAAAAATTACAAAAATAGCACCTAGGCCACACAAATTCCAAAAGTAGCACCTTTTTTTCAAAACCGCACCTTGGTCGTGCGGTTTGAGTTTCAGAGATTAAACCGCATCTTGGCCATGTGGTTTGCTTTCTGACCTAACAGAACCGCATCTTGGCAAGGCGGTTCTTAGGCTGACCTAGCAAAACCGCCTGCTGAGGATGCGGTTCTATTTCTCTAACACAAATTGCATCCTCAGGGTGAGGTTTTCCATTGCCGACAAACAAACCGCACCCCCTGTGGTTTGTGTGTCGTCCTCATTTTTCTGACATCCAGCATGTTGGCATGCAGGTGGACAGACGTGGGGCTGCATGGCAGATGAAAACCGCACCCTCCCCCTCCGGTTTTCAGTGATGATTTAGCCTATAAAAGACAACCCTGGGAAACCTCTTCTCTTCACACCTCTCCTCCTCCTTCTTCACCTTCTTCTTCAATTTTCTGTTGTAGCACCCTACTTTTTATTGTTTTTGCGATTAACGTTAACTTGTAAGTTTATTTTGTATTACTTTCTATTGTGATTTGTGATTTTTATGATTTTAACTGAATTACGTTTTTATTGCATATGGCATTCCAAAAGTTCACGCTTGGGTTACATTGGAATGGTTACACAGAAGAGACCGGAAATGTGGTCACCTACGTCGGTGGCAATTTTCAGAAAATAAAGGTCACTACCAGACTGATGCTTGAAGACCTCCATCAAATGTGTACTAACGTTACTTGCATAGATGGCACGAGAAGAGTTGATAGTATGGTATACCGATATCCAAACAGAGAAGGTTGGTCGTTGTGGCATGAGGAATATCTCATAACCACTTAGGATGAAGTAGATGTCATGCTCGAATTCTTGAGGTCCAATAATCTTTCCAAAGCCGAGATGTTCATTTACACTGAGATGGTCGAAGGCGTTGGAGGTCATTCTGAAGACGGGCAAACATCTGGTATCCATGGTGGAGGTGAATTATATGGAGATCATCCCTACCAAAGTTGCCATGATCCTCATTCCTACTTTCAGTACCAAGAACAAGGTGAAGGTCATCATCAATCTTTCCCATCATATGAAGAAGAAGTCCAACGGGACCATGCCAACCAACCCGAGTACAACTTCCATTCAGGCAACGACAGTTTTCACAACTACCATTACGAAGCTGATGAAAGTGCCTTTCATAATCTGGATCAGATGGAAGATGCCCGGCCAGCACCAGTTAGTGACCCCTCCGATGAAGAAGAAGGGAGCAATGTTATTGCAGACAGCTCCGACCCTCTCGAAGTTGCTGATGATTCAGGAGGCCCAGAGTCATACTTAGATGATGATGAGGTGTCTCATGACCGTGTACCTATACTGTACTCCACTCACATTCCATACAACAATTGGTGTGTCGACAGCGACATGGGGCCGCCAGAGGTCCCAGTATGTGGTCCACTCACTGGGTTTATGAAGGGCAAACAATTTGGTTCGAAAAAGGAGGTGCGGCACGCCATTGAAACTGAAGCAATGACTCGACATTTTGAATGACACACAACTCATTCCAACACGAAGAGGCTCATAGTCAGATGTCGTAATCAACAAGAGGGATGCAATGCTAGAATTCGGGCCATCAACATCAAGAGACACGGCTATTGGGTCATATCCCGTGCGGTAAACACACACACATGTGTGTCATCCATAACATCCCAAAGCCATCGACAGTTGAAATTCAGGGTGGTGGTCGCGGCTATCAAGCATCTAATTGAGCAAGATCCTGACCTGAAAGTGAAAGTCATAATCGCTGACATTACAAGTCGTTATGGTTATATTATTAACTATAAGAAGACGTGGCATGGAAAGCAGAAAGCTCTGGCCGTCGTCTTTGGTGATTGGGAAGAATCATATGCATTCCTTCCCAGGTTGATTTTGGCATTGGAGGCGTCTAACCCTGACACTGTTTTCTCCCCTCGATACCAAGATGAAGAGATACAGCCGCTTGAAATTCATCATAATAAATTCCCTCTTCTTGGAACCACTCGTCCATTTTTTTGCGAAAGTCGAACAGAGATTCGGCGGGTTTTGAAGGAAAAGCCAAATAAATGTTTTCTAATGGCAGATCGGACTTAGCCACAACGGCACAACCAACAGACCACTATTTCCTAGGCTTTTGGGAGGGGGATGGATAGAGAGATAATTTTAGAGAGAGAGAGAAGAATGAGTTGTGGTGTGAAAAAATGAGGACGGGGATGGGGTATTTATAGTTTTCAAACTGCACCCTCCAGGGGCGGTTTCGTAATTTTGCCCTTTCCAAAACCACACCTGGAGGGAGCGGTTCACGGCGTCCGAGGCTCAAACTGTTCGCCAGGCGCGCGATCTTCGATCGCGGACGCGTATCCCTGCGCTGGCATGCGGTTTGCCGTTGGATCGTCGTCTAATCCAACGGTGCTGGGGACCGCCGCCTCGGGAACACGGACCGCACGTTGACAATACGGTTTTGGGGCTGCCCTAGCAGGGATCGCTCCCTCGTTGTGCGGTTTGCACATAAAACGCACCTTGAAGGTGCGGTTTTGAAAGAAAAGTGCTATTTTTGGAATTTATGTGGGCTGGGTGCTATTTTTGTAAATTTTTTTAAAATGTGATATTATTGGAAAAATCCCGGCAAAGAATGCCTAACTTGTATTAATAATAAAGAGGAGTAGGGCAAATCTGTAATATACAAGACCGGTTGATACATAATTTGTTGGGGGTCCAAAAAGTTCATCGCTGGCAGTAGCACGTACTTGAATAACTTCAACTTGAAGGGCTTGGTGCATATGTTGTATGATTACTTACCCAAAAGGAAATCTTTCTCTTAAACAATTATTTAGTAGCATACTAGCATTTGGGCAATCATGATTTGTGAGTTTGGGGAGAGAGAGTGAAGGCACCTCAAAAGTGTTGTCATCCCGGTTTAGTCTTTTGGTCCGGTCGAGCAAGTGAGTTGAGAGTTAATGAGTTGACCGTTTTAGCTCGGTTTAGTCTGGATATATGATAAAAGTCATTATATTGTTCATACATTTATAAATTATATAAAATCTCATATAATATACAAGTAATAACATATAACGTTACACCAAAATAAAATGTCGTACTTGGAAAAAACATATAGTGAAAAATCACACACGTTTATGTAACATAAATGTTCAAATATTCCACTTAGAATTCCAAAAATTGGGTTAGGCTAAAAACCCCCGGAAAATAGACGCATTTCAGAAACAAAAAAAAACGATGTCATTTTACCTCAAATTTGATACCTTGCAGCAGATCGACCCGACGAGTATATACAACTCGTTTTTCTCACTGTATTATAATCAAAGCGGACCAACTGACGAATCGACCCATGGTTTTACAACCTTCCCTCAAACCAAGACGAGAAGAAGATTGAATTGAACATGCAATTTCCATTGACTATTATCCATTAGCTGTGGGCATAATTGATGGGGAATGTCCGGTACAATACAATATATAACTGGCGCTGGCGGGTTGTTCCCTTAGCTTGCGTGATGATGGTTGCTTTAAACGTTTGAACGTATAGTAGCGCGGATGGTGGCTTGATTTACTGAGACAGCAGGTACACAATTCCTCCATTATAATAGGCATTCAGTTTGGCAGTGCATTGTGAGATTTTCTCCGAATTGTCTGCCTTCTCCTTAATCGCAGTAAGGGTTATAATAGTAAATGTAATCTTACATTTAATAAGTAAATAACAATAATAAATATATTTCTTGTAAGATTTGAACCTTACATAAAAGTAAAATCGAAAAATCAATCACACTACATTGATTTGCTGTATCTCTTTCGATTAAAAACATACATGAAGGTAAAATCAAAAAATCACATAACTTTTCAATGGTTAGCTAGCCAGCCAAGTAAAATT